TATTAACAATAACGACGTTTAAAGGATTATTTACTTTTTGTAGATTACCGTTTGGGTTAGGTATTTCAGCCCCAATTTTCAGCGCACTATGGCTGCAGTTTTGCAGTTCTGGAGGGAATTTTTTATTATATGGATGATGTTTTAGTTGCGGGAATAACGGTTGAACAGCACAATTATAGATTGGAGGAAGTTTTTATACGAATACGCGATAAGGGGTTGAAAGCGAGTCGTGGAAAAAGTGTCATGGGAGTGACTGAGATTACGTATTTGGGCATAAAATAAATGGGACCGAAATAAGACCCTTAGATGAGTATTGCATATATGAATAAACCGACTACGAAAAAGGAGGTACAATCATTTTTGGATATGGTGAATTATTACCATCGTTTTATAGAGGATTTTGCTAAATTGGCTGCGCCATTATATGAATTATTGAAGAAAAATGTACATTTTGAATGGAAAAATGAGCAAGAATTGGCGTTTGTGTGAAGGAACCCATTTTGATATGTTTTAATAATAATGAATTAGAAGTAATTTTAGCAGTCGACGCATCCAATAAAGGTATGGGTGGAGTATTGTTACATTTAATGGACGGAATTAAAAGGCCTGTATTGTTTTTTTCAAGAGTATTTCGGGATGTAGAAACACGATATTCTGTGATTGAGCAAGACATTAGCTGTCATTTTCGGTTTTAAAAAATGTCGAGAATATTTAATTGGTAGGAAATTTGTGGTATACAAGGATCATAAACCTTTGATTCATTTATTTAAGAAGGGCAATAGAGAATTGGTGATGTCGCCGAGACTTCAACGGTGGTTATTATTGGTGGGTAGTTTTGATTTAGAATTAAGGTATAGACAAGGAAAAGAAAATCATTTACCAGATATTTTATCGAGATTGAGAGTCGAAGAGAAACTGTCAGGTCAAGATGGGAAAGGTGAAGCGGCCTTAATTTGTACTTTAACTTGTGGTTTAAGGGGTGGTCACACCACATGGGAAGATATTCGAAATTATACGTTAAAAGATAAGGAAATGAAACTATTAAAATTGCGAATAACGGGGAAAAAACCATGGGATGTCGGTGAGGATAAATTTAAATGTATTGAAACTGAGTTAATTGTGGTAGACGGTTGCATTATGAGAGGGCATAAAGCGGTTATACCGAGTAAAGTTCTGAAAATATTCTACTCGAGACATCTAGGGGTTTCGCGAATGAAACAGTGGGGAAGGGAATATGTTTGGAATGAATGGGGAAATTGAAAAAATTGTGAAGTCTGTAACGCATGGATAAAAAGTGTTTGGCCGAAAGTAATAGAGCTTGGGAAAGAGTGCATATGGATTTTTTTGAGTGTAATGATATAATTTATTTTAAGTGTAGAAGTTTTTTTAAAGTGGATTGAATTTGAAGTGGTACATGGTTTAACTACGGGAATTGTTATAAAACATGTTAAGAAATTATGGTCTATATTTGGAATTTCGAAATGGGTGGTTTCGGATGGTGGTCCGGGGTTCGTGAGTGAAATGTTCGGGGGTTTTTGTTTGAGAAGTAATGTGCAACATATGCTGGCACCATCGTATCACCCTAGTTCTAACAGACAGGCAGAAAGGTTGGAGGCAGTTGTTAAGGGTTGTTGAGAAAGGCCAAAGAAACTTGTATAGCTCATTTATATTATAAAAATGGGGTAGGAAGAGATGGTAAATCTCCTTCGGAAAAGATATTGGGAAGGAAAACTAATACGTTTTTAGATAGGTTAAAACCTGTTTCGAGAATGTTGGGAATTGAAAATAATGTGGAGTATGAATATATAGTTGATCAAATGGTTTGGGTTAGGATGTATGGGAGTGGTAAAAAATGGGAAAAGGGGATAATTATATAAAATTTAGGTAATAAATTGTGCAAAATAGGATTGGAAGATATGACGGAAGTACATCGCCATAGAGATCAGTTAAAATGTCGAATCGAATAAACTTAGTTAATAGGTAAATACGCTGGGTTAGATTTTCTTTTTGGTCAACAATAAAATATATATATGAGATTATTGAAATTGAATATAAAATAAATATATATGGGATTATTGAAATTGAATAAATATGTTTGTTTTCGGGGTTATTTTGCAAATGTAAGTGGTTCTCATAATAAACTGAAATTGAATTAATATGTATATTTTCGGGGTTATTTTGCAAATGTAAGTGGTATTCATAGTAAACTACTTTGAATTTATTCGATAAACTGCTTAAAGTTTATTATTAAAATTAATTGTTTAAAATATACGAGGGAATGTAAAAAGGAATTCATTAATAAAAAGTAATGTAATATGTGGGTTGTTTAAAAGAAATAGATAAAATTTAGTTTACATGTTAAATTTAATGATTAAAAAATAATAGAAGGTTATACAAAAAAAAGGGGGGGGGGAGTATGTTGTAGAGGGAAATATATTTTTGGAATTGAGGTTAGTTTAAATGTTAAGTTTTAAAATAAATGATTTCACGCATAAATCAAAGGAAATTCAAATAGAAATATTTTTTGGATTCAGGTTAAGTTTGATTTAAAAGAAAGAATATAGTAAAAATATAAATCAAGAAATAGGGTATTCATTAATTGGGGTATAGAAGTAAATTTATTTGATGCGATTTTATGTAAAGGAATTGAAAAGAGGTTAGAAATAATTTTATTTAAAGGAGGTTAAAAATAATTTTTTTTTTGGGTAATTAATTTATTGTGGTATAAAAATTCATTTATTATTAAAAAAAAATTAAATAATTTTATTTGCGGAAAATTTTGGGTTTAAAATAAAATAATTTTATTTGCGGGAAATTTTGGTTTAAAGTAAATAATTTGATTTGAAAAAAGTTTTGGTTTAAAATAAATTTTTTTTAAAAAAAATAAAAATTATTATGACTTTCTATATTCGCACATCACAGACCATGATTCAAGCAAATCAGTCTAATCTAGGTAGTCCATTAGCTGATTCCTGGTTAGATAACTGGTTAATACAAAACGAAACCCGATTAGACCCAAACCACAACTTTCGATAAATAGAAGAGGAGCTCCATGCACATAAAGGAATTGAAAATAGCATGATCACGAACACTGTATGTCCGGATAACATAAAAGATGAATAATGCAATATAAAGATAACAGCTAATTTATGACTGCTACTACAAAGAGCGTGGAAAAAGAGGACAGCAACGTGATAATCGACCTTTAGGTAAACTGTGACAATGCGACGGCTATCATTGAAGATCAGAAAAGGGTGAATGGAACGATGCAAATAGAATAAACATAAAAACAATTCTTGAAATGTGAGTTATTTATTGAATTTTTATACACTGATTGTTTTTTTAAATAATTACTAGAAAAATGTATCATTTTTCCCCGGGTTTTTGTTCCTAACGAAAGGGGGCGTGTTGTATTATTATATTTTTTTTATGTTTATTTTTCGGTTTATTAATTTTTTATGTATTATGTTGTTGAAAATGTTTATTATTTTATCATGTTTTTAAAAAAAATATACAATTTATATATATTTTTGAATATAAAAAGATTTCGAAAATTAATTAAATTATATAAAATGATTATGAAATTTTGATGTTTTGTTCGAAAAATATTATATTTTAAAAGCTAATAAAATAAAGTTTTAACAACGACTGTGTTAATTAAATATCCATAGAAATTTCAGTGTGATTTGGTCACGACAGTAACCAAATTCAATTAATAAACCTATTTTTAATAATATATTTCTTTACATATTTAGCACAATATATTTCTTTACATATTTAGCATAATATATTCCATTTTTTTGCCCTCAAGTTGCTCGTAATATTTATGGAATTTCATATAAATGTATTTTTTTTTAAATTTTACTAAATTAGATCATAGAACTTAGTATAAAGAAAGACAAAGACTTAAATTATTTTAGAATTAAATAATTTTTTTGAATAAACTACTAAATTAGTAATCATTATTTACTAATAAGAAAATTTTTTAGGCCAGGTCCGGATTTTTTAAAAATATATTATATTTATTTTTAATTTTTATAGCTAATAATGGCGATTTCAAAAATTTGGCTTTAAAATAACGGCCTGACCCGGATATTTTTTTAAAAAAATTTTTAGGCCCGCCCTGAGTATATTTAAAAAAAATTAAAATACATCCCGGCCTGTGTTCCCTGGCCGGGCCTGCAGGTCTCTAATAAATATATTCTATTTTCCGATATTTTTTTCGGTATAATCATTTTTTTATATAAATAAATTGTATATTATTCCAATTTTTTTATATTAAATAAATGTGTTCAGTAAATAAATGCGTTTATGAATTATGTATAAAGTAAATTATTATGTAACTAGTTACTTTTGAAATATAACATAACTAATAACTAGTTACTTACTATAACTAGTTATATTTTTACCAATGTAACTAGTAACTAATTATATTTCAAAATAACTTTTAACAACACTAGTAAAATCTAATTCATCATATTTTGCGTATTTTCCAATAAAGAAGTAAATGGGTTTAAAGATGTACATACAAAATAGTTTATTTTTAAACTATATTTACCAAACCTGACTAGTATAGTATTATAATAGTAAGTTATTAAATTTATTGTCTAAAAAGATTAGTTGAGTAACGGCTAAATGGCTCAATCTAGATGCGTGTGTCGAAGAAAATCAGATATGAGGCGCAAGTTATTATTTCGGCTTCTTCTTAGCTATATTTTTTTTAAAATAACCCAAGGCTGAGATGATAGTTTTCGGGTAAAAGCGATGTTTAACCATTTTTTTAATCGAAAAAAGAGCAATCACCTATATTTAGTAATTAGTAACTATTTTCACGTTTCACAATATTTTGGCACTAATCAAACACCATTATTCATATAATTTTATAACATTTTATTAAATTTAATATTTTTGTAATAATCATTCTATCACTATTTATTTGATATTGAGTAAAATTTTCTGATGTAATAAATTTTACGAAATATAATAAAATGTTAACCCGTCGTGGATATAAACATCAAATAAATAAATTATTTTAATAAATATAAATTTCTTTGCATCTATTTTTAAAAATAAAATATATTATATGATTGAGTAGAAGAAATTGCGTATGAATTTTGCCAGGTGAAAAATTGTTTTTTTAATCATAAATTAACAAAGCGAGATTTTTTCATATATAAAAGGTATAAGTCATATGTTATAAATAGAATGATTTTTCTGGTCATAAATAACGAGCTGGTTTAGAATAAGTCATCGAGTTAATATAATATAGTTTTCAGATAAAAAATGATAAATTTTTATAATAATTTTATAATGTTTATCAACCGAATAAGATATTTGATTTTATTCAAACTTTCAAAAAATGGGTTTATCTAAGAATAAAATGTAATGACGCTTTGTTGGTTTCCTCTCAAAAAGAGAAAAGGGGGCATATTTTTGGAAATGATCTCTAACCAAGCCATATACATAGAAGATGAGATGCTTCCCTTTCTTGGCATGGGTAGAGTCCTTTGTAAAAATATTAATAATAACGTATTAACAACATTTAATATATATAAAAAGGATCAATTTCGCCCCCAGACCCCATTTTAAGTAAAGAAAGAAAGAATAGAAGATATAATCAATATTTTAGTGGATGATAGTAAGTTTTTAAGCTTAATTGTCTAAAATCTATTTTACTTTGATTTAAAATTTTCATGATAACAAATAAAATATAAACTGTTAAGATCTTTCATTTTTATCCCTTTCTTAAGAAAATATCTATAAAAAAACAACTAATTTAAAGAATTACATGACAACGAGATTGGAACCGAGCGAATAATTAGTTAACATTTCGTGTAGCCTTATCTGTCGGTGGGTCTTGTTAAGCAATGAACAGTATTCCGCATCAGTTATCATTCCGGGAGAGTAATTTTTATCATTCTCATCCTTAACTCTGTACTTCTCTATGATGGACTCAAAATCTTGAATACTATTTTTTTAACGGGATTTTCATTTTTGGGATTAAAATTTAATATTATGTCATGTTGAATTACCGATTTTATAAAAAAAATTAGCAAATTGATTAAGCTTTACAGTTTTTATTTATCCTTGAATTTGAACATTTTATAAATAATCATTTGACAACGATTAATAATTAATAATAACAAAGATAATAAATATTAAATATAAAATAAAAACTTATTTCCTTTTAAAAAAATTATATGAAATGTATAAGGCTAACCTTGATGGGTAAGGCATTTTCTGTATGTCTGATAATATAATGAGATCGGAATAATCTATCCTAAATTTCTGGAGTAACGTGGCAAAGCTATTTGACGCGTATAAACATTTAAAAGTATCAAAAAGGTTAATTTAATATCAAATTATGTTTTTAATTATAAGCCTTTAATATGATGAATAATTCTGAATATCTTTTGATGTAATAAATTGGATTCCAAAAATCACTATCCTATAAAATAAAAGTGAATTTAGACTTATAAAAAATGAGACCCAATATAATGCTCAAGAGACGAAATATTTGTAAAATACTGATGTGATGAAGCTTTGTAATTATGAATTTTGAAAAATTAATATAAATTTATAATTTGAATGAAGAAAAAACTTTGTGTGCACGATTTCTTGCTCTTCCTTGGTATTGCATAACGCAAAAAATCTAATTTTGCATTGTTCCCAATGACGTCTGTTAGCCAATATATAAGGAAGTAAGATAGTTAATCCTTGTTTTTTCAAAAAAATAAATATATTTATAATAGAGAGCCTTACATTATTTCGCTCAGGATAAAAATTAAAACCCTCAGAATTGTTTTTTAGTAATTACTCAGAAATAAAAAATATAGTAAATCTGATTTTATTTTCATATTTAATTTTTAAAAATATTTTTTTTTCTATTTTAAATGTTATTTTCTTTTTAAGTGCGGTTTAACCTAAATTTTATATTTTGGCTAGAATTCCCTCCTCAATTGTATATTCCTTTTTAATTGATTTGATATTTAATCGAAAAATGTAGTTACATACATTAAATTATAATACTATGATTTTACCTAAAAAATATTATTATTTTAAGACTTACTTAATATACTGTACCAATATCTATTAAACAAAAATCATTATATTATAGTGCTGTTAACATTTCTAAAAAAATAAAGCGTTCGCGTTCATTGATAAAAATCGAACGCGTTCACGTTCAAAATTTTATAAGATTTTTTAATATAATATTTTTTAACAATATATTAACCATGTTAAAAAATAATATATTTAATTTTGATAATCTAATATATATAATCTCCATAATCACATGATGATCGTTTTCGTATCTCCGTATTTAAAATTTAAGGAGACTATATAGCAGAGACCTGCAGGCCCGGCCCTAAGCCCGGGCAGGGCCTTATTTTAAAATTTTTAAATATACTCGGGCCGGGCCTAAAAAATTTTTTTTTAAACATATTCGGGCCGGGCCTAAAAAATTTTTTTAAAAATATATCCGGGCCGGGCCTAAGATTGTTAAACCTGGGCCGGGCCGGGTATTAATATTTTTTATAAAAATTTTTACATTATGAGTTAATGGTTGTAAGATTATATTATATTATAGTTATGATTAATATAATATTGGGTGATGGTTAACACTACCTAACAACCCACAGATCGATCTAATTATTAATTTCTTGCAAATTTATTTAAAGTATTAATATATTTTTTTTTATAATTCATATCTAAATTTTTACAACATATTTTACCAAAACAATCAAATAAAGGAATTAAATAAGCCCCAATATTCATGTATTATTAATATATTTTTTTATAATTCATATCTAAATTTTTAGAATATATTTTACCAAAACAATCAAATAAAGGATCACTTCTTAAAGTTTGTAATACCCTTCAAAGCGAAAAGGAGAAATAAAATTGATTTTACTTAATATAAAGCATTTTTTAATTGAAAAATTTGTTTTACACAAGTATCATTTTATTTCTCTTTTTCTCTGTCCCAAATTCAAGCAATTACGTATGTAGTCAGGGAAAGATCGCAAAATGACGGAAAACTATATAAAAGATTATATTAAATTACAAGAGGCTCAGGAAGTAAATGAAATACCATCGACCAGTCAAATTACGACTGTTGTTAAACAAACTAAATCGTTTTATGACAAATGGGGCGATGGTAATTCTGGTAATATGTCAATACCCGATGATGAATATTATAATTACATAAATAATAGATAAAACATTTAAGGTGGATAATTTGTTAGAGGGGTGGGCGGCTCATCAAAGCGAATTTCCAATTTTAGCAAAATTGGCAATTCCTGCTTTAAGTGCAAGCTGTGAGCGGAATTTTTCCATTACTGGGAGAATTCTTGAAGAAAGAAGAAGTAATCTTCAACCTGAAAAGGTAGATATGCTTCTCTTTCTTCATGATAATTTGTAAATTTTTAATATCTTTCTTGAGTATAGGGTTTCGTCAATCATGCTGGTTTTTTACTTTGCAAACTGTCAAATATTTATTGCATTTATTATATTTACCTTGAGTCATGAAAGTTTTTAATCCAACATTTTTCATTATTTTTTTTACAATATTATATAATACAATTATCTTCTTTTGTTAAAAATTTATATTATAAAATAAATTATATTAATATTGTGCAATTAGATTATATTTTCAAAATACTATTTATTATACATGCATTTTTTTAAATAGCGATTTATTTTTATTTTATAAATTAAATAGTAAATTAAATACAATATATTATATTCTCAAAATATTTTCCATTTTTATAAATTAAATATTAGTTTTATTTTTTTTAAATGTAATAAAAAGTATAGTATATGACAAATATTATTACCATTTTTATGAATATTAGTTTTATTTTTATAAATGCAATATAAAATATAGTATATACTCAAAATATCCATTTTTATAAATAACAATTTTATAATTTTTATAAATTCAATATAATATTCTCAAAATATTAGCTTTTTACATGTATTTTTTAAATAATAAGCGATAATACTCGCTGAAAAATATGGTAAAATACCTCATAGGTGAATTTTTGTATATACCAGGTCGAATATAATTTTAAAAAATTCCGAGCCGGGCCTGAAATTTTTAAATCCGGGCCGGGCCGTAAAAATTTTTTTAAAAAATATCCGGGCCGGGCCTTAAATTTTTAAATCCGGGCCGGGCCGGGCCTAAAAAATTTAAAACCGGGCGTGCAAATGGTACCTCTGCAGGTCTCTGCTATATAGTGTAATGTTAATTTTTTTTTGCCATCCTCGGGATTCGAACTTGCGACTTCACGATTGGAAAGGCAAACGTTCTTTCAATGCAGCACTCCTCAACTTTTTATTTTACGATAATAATAAATATATATTTTTTTTGCCATCCCCGGGATTCGAACTTGCAACTTCACGATTGGTAGGCAAACGTTCTTTCAACGCAGCTCCCCTTAACTTTTTATTTTAAGATAATTCTTCATATATATTTAATTTAAATTAACAATTTTATGCACAAATTTCAACATAATTAATTATATAGATGTTGAAGGGTAATTATTTAGTTTGTGTGTATGGTATTAAATATACTTTATTAATAAATTTTATATAAATATTAAAATTTAAGAATAAGATAGGTAAAATTGTCCAATGTATACTGTGAGCATGTATTAGAAATATCAAATTAAAAATGTGATGGAAATCATATTGAATAAAATTTAAAATAGAGGTGCTAAGATTTTTGAATTTTAAATATGTATAGATTGGTCTGAATTTTTTTTTGCAGACAGCCAGAACTGATCAAAACCATGTGTTGAAGGGTAATTATTTAGTTTGTGTGTATGGTATTAAATATACTTTATTAATAAATTTTATATAAATATTAAAATTTAAGAGTTAAAGAGATAAAATTGTTCAATGTATACTGTGAGCATGAATTAGAAATATCAAAATTTAAAAATGTGATGGAAATCATATTGAATAAAATTTAAAATAGAGGTGCTAAGATTTTTGAATTTTAAATATGGGTTATAGATTGGTCTGAAATTTTTTTGCAGACAGCCAGAACTGATCAAAAAACCATGTGTTGAAGGGTAATTATTTAGTTGGTGTGTATGGAATTAAATATACTTTATTAATAAATTTTATATATATTAAAATTTAAGAGTAAAAGAGGTAAAATTGTTGCAATGTGTACTGTGAGCATGTATTGGAAATATCAAAATTTAAAATGGTTTGTTTAAAATTTAAATTAGGATGAACATATTTTCAGAATGGCACTTTAATATGTATTCATGAATTTCATATAGATACCAGCTCACCAGTAGAATCATAGGTAAATCAGAAATTTACCCTTCATTTGATTATAATTTTGAAATTAGACAGATTTAATTCTTATAAGCCCCTTACATCAGACCAGTGGCGTAGCTATGAATTTTCCTTAGAGGGGGTCCATACATATATAAGACTGGGAAGCTTCGTCCCCCAGACAACCTTTAATGGGCCTTCGGAAAAATCATAACAATACCTTCGATATTATATAATAAATATAGTTAATGCATCAATAATATATTATTATAATTTAGTAGATTATCTCAATGATTTTATAATAATACTATCCAGAATAATTTCAATAGTAATATATTATCCTTCCACGAACATCAAAAATAGAAATATATAAATATTTATTTGCTGCTGTAAAGTAACTTTTAAGTCTTTTGAACGTATAATCTAAAAAAAAAATTTTGCTCTGGGAGGGGTCCAAACCCGAAAACCACCCCCGTAGCTACGCCACTGCATCAGACCTATTTTTCTGGATCAAATAAATTATTTGGGATTTCCTGGGCTTGGGAAATATTTTTCACCATTAATATGGACTTGGACCTAGCTTGAGAAACATTTTTCATAATTATTATAGTCTAAGATTCCTGTGAATTTTTTAATTTTAAATATGGACTAGAAATTGGCCTGAAAATTTCTTTCGAAGACATGGCAAGGCCTGATCAAAAACCAAGGCCCATGCAAATTTCATATTCTGATTGTATTTTTAAATGCATTGTGACTTTTTATATATTTTATTTCAGTCCTCAACTATCAAAATTATTATGGTCTTTTGCGGGTTTAAGAAAACCAAGTGCGAGGACCTGGCTTGGGATTTTTATAAATATTAGGCATAGGTGTAATATTTAACACAGAATATTTATATGGCCCTCAGGTAAAATCTAATTTAAATATATTTTTATTCAAAAAAATAGTATTCACTCTTAGTCTTAATGGATTGGCCTTGGTTGGAGTGAGCTAGGTTAAAATAGACTAAAAAATAGATATGGTTTTTAGAGATCTACCTATCTCCAGGCTTGGAAAATTACTATCGGTTAGCCAGGTTTGAGAAATTTTTTTTATAAAATTATTATGGGTTGGGCTGGGCTTGGAAAATATTTTTATAAATTATATTGGGCTGAGCTTGGGGAAAATTTTTCAAAATTATTATAAGCTTGGACGCTTGAGAATTTTTTTATTATTAATTATAGATCAGACATTGACCCAAAACAAATTTTTTTGCAGGCCTGGGCTTGACCTGATCAAAAAACCAAGGCCCATGAAAATCTGAATTTTGATTGTATTTTTAAATTCATTATGATTATTTTAATATTTTATTTCAGTTCTCAACTACCAAAATTATTATGATCTTTCATTGGGCTTGGAAGAATTTTCATAATTAATATGGCTTTTGACTTTGCCTGGAAATTTTTTTTAATATTAAATATTGGGTATAAGTAATCAGTAATATTTAACAAATAATATTGGTATTATCAAGTAAATGCTTTAAATTTATTTTTACTCAAACCATAGCACTTAGTTTTAATGGATTATATCTGGCCTGAAGGGATGAGGGGGTAAGAAGAATAAAAATTGGATATTATTTTCAAATAACAGGTAACATGTATAAAAGTAAGAAGAAAATTTTCATTTCCCGTCATTTTTGACGGGATATTTACTAGTATAATTATAAATACAATATAATATAGCGAATAAAAAGATATTTTTATTTATAATTTTTTTTTTATTAATTAATAACAATTGTTTTTCAAAATTTTCATCTGACAGACATGAACGCTTGGAGGTTAATACGGCATTAGATATAATAAAAACGCGCTCTACAAGAGCAGATGAGGGGATTGCGGTATTATACTTAATAAACAACTCCTTTAACGTGGGGAATTTATTAAAAATATTTATTGTTTTATTCTTTGCTTCAAAAAATTGTGTTAAGTTATCCTCCTCATTACTTCCTCGTCAAAAAATTATATATCTCAATATTAACAGTTCTTGCATTATCATTTCTAATATTTTCAATTCATTTTTTTCAATAACGCTATAAGTTTATTTTTTATAGGTTCGTTCTGTAAAAGTTTTATCCATGGCCAATGAAGCGTGAATAGATGTATAATTGTAGAAAGAACATAGATATTCATATATATATATGTTCAAATCTTTAAAAAAAATAAAATATGTGTAATTAATTTGATAGTGATAGGTTTAATACCTTTTATTAATCCCATTTAATAGTGCGTCTATCAATGGTTGACCATATTTTAGGACACTATTTTTTTTTTAATTTTAAAATAACTATCATTATTGTTTGGGTCAAATAACCCAAAATGCATTTTTTCTTCAAATTTAATGATTTTACTTAGTTATAATATAAAAAATAAGATAATTAATATTACAATCAAATGTTTTAAATTGGAACTAGAAGATTTTGAAACTGATATAATACTTTTTGGGCACATTTTACATTTGGTAAATATTGAATTAGTTCCTTCAATATAGGATGTTACTGTAAAATATTTATCATATTTGGGCCATGGTAATGTTAATTTATCTGATTTTGAATTTTCAGAATCTGATGATTATGATGAAATATTAATATCCATGCTTATGCTAGTCAAATTAAAATATAATCAATATATTTAAATTAATAAACTATAATAATAACGTGAAAAAATTGAAATGTGAAAAAGGAAAAACAGTTATAAATAAAAAACGTTTTTAAAATTGAACGAACGTTAATTTCGAACGCGTTCGTCATAAAAATGGAACGCGTTTACCTTCAAAGTTCGTCAAAAATAAAAGGAACGCCGTACAACATTTTTTTCAAAAATACGAACTTTGTTCACGAACTGTTTATATTATAATTACTATCTAGCATTATAAAATATATTGTGTAAATTAATTTATTCCATTTACTAAACAAGTTCGTATTCCATCATAATACAAATTTAAGTTGGGCAATAAAATATATAAACCCATGCCGATTTTTATTTTATTATATCAATTAACTAGTTTATTTAAGAATCGAATGATAGATTATTTAATATTCATCCTATCAATTTTCCTTTAAAATCTTTTATAAATTATAGCCAACATTATGCAGGATGTTATTTCAGGATATGGCTTAAAAATGAGAATTTTTAATTTTTTTCCTATTAAAAGATCATGAAAAATAGACGAGAGGAAGATATATGTGTTTGAAAAAGGACACTGATTAAAGTTATATATTATGGTGCAATGTGTTCAAATTAAAAAATAATTTTATTCCTCATTTTAGCTTTATTAAATTAGTTACGAATTTGTTCAGAAAATTTGGATAATTAAATCATATTATGAAATGTTTGTGCACAGAATACTTTACCAAAAATCAGTAATCTATTTTGTAACCTTTCAAAATCATATTTTATTTTATGCAGAAAAGAAAAATAGCAAGTGTTAGGTGAGTGAAGCTAGAAGGATATAGGTCTATTCAAAAACAAAATGATACGAATAGTAAATTAATCGAATAATTTAACTATTGGACGAATTATTAGAATAATTCATTTTATTCGAATTAATTGGCTATGTTTTAATAAAAATTAATCATTTCTATTGATACGTATCAGAGTAATCGGTGATGTAATGTATATGCTGTATTCCACATCAAATCAACTGAAGATACAACAGAACCCTCTTTGATTTTTAAAATTTGTATGAAAACTAACTAGTAAAAATTTAAAATTATAATTCCCAACACTTCATGAGATATGGCCATCTTTAAAAAAGCAAAAATTCCAAAATACACTATATTTAATTTTTGATATCTAAAAAATAATTTTAGTTCTTTAATATGATATAAAATTTATTTTATTGAAAATAAGACTATTACCCAAAACCGAAAATAGCTATAAAAAGAAAACTGCTCTTTTTCCCTTTTAAATTTTTTTATAGATAGATGCAAAATCCTAGACTGGGACAAAAATTGGTCCAAGAGATTTCGTTCTTAAATATTGGTCGTATACCAAAAACTCTAGAAAAAATATAAAATTTATTTTAAATATTTATTATATCATTTACATTTAAAATATATCGTATTTTTTTTAAATTTTCAAAATAAAAAGAAAACTAAAAATTTAGAAATGTAAAAAAAAATAGATTGGTGAACTTTGGAGATCTCTTGGTTGTAAAAAATAGAATCAAGTCGGCCTTAAATTTTGAAATGAAATAAAATATTTTAAAATTTTTGCAAGAACCAAGTAGCCAATATTTTTTATTTATTTGTAGAATGATCATAAACTTGATTTTGTTCAGTTTAATGCAAAACTCTATTAGAAAAAAAAAATCATTTTTATGTCTAAATAAATTCGGGCCAGAGACAAATAACTTTTATTTCGGGTGGGCTTTTAGGACAAATAAAAAAAATTGTGTAAGCACATATTTTTTTATAAAAATTTAGGGCTGGGCTTGAAAAATTAGGCCCGATGCAGATCACTAGTGGACATTGTGTTGTATTTAACATATAAATTAGCTATTTTATTTTAGAAAAAAAATAAGTAATACAAAATATTCCCCTATTTTCATTAGATATTCTTTTTAAGTACCAATTAGAGGGAAGGGTTCTTTTGAATCAAAAATTTAAAATTACATTAATATACTACCATTTTGTTTATATAATATTTTATATTTATTTCATGATAAAAAATATTAACAACTTGCTAAAATACCATTATAATTTTTTAAATTGCCATGCCCTTTTTTAACCCCCCCCCCCTCGACTATATCTCTGACTAACTGTAACTGTATATGCAAGAATAACGTTAAGTCTCTAAAAATATCTGTTAGTTTCTTTATTTTATTAATTAAAATCCCAAAATTATATTAACTATTGACACTGACAATTACTATAATCACTAAAACGTCAATCACGATAATATAGAATTTATTTGTAAATAGAATCGTCTTATTTCATTTTATAGCTTTTGCTGACAAGATATTCTATTATCATTATTGGAAAAAGTTAAATATCATCACAGTAAATTAGATTTGATTTTTAAAATAATTCTTATACAGTATAACAGAGACCTGTAGAGGATAAAATATAATTCCTGGCTCAGATTTAAAAAAAATTTTAAACCCGATCTTTATTTAGAATCATTTTATGTCATGGGTCGGAATTTTAAAAATTTCGTTATTTAGAATTATTTTGGCTGTGTTAAATTGTTAGAAAGTCAAATGGAAAATATGAGCAATAAGTGAATATTAAGCGCTGCTCCATTATATGATTTTAGAACATTTTCCAATTGATATAATTTAAATTAATATTTTTAAAATTGGCCCATCCTGAATTTTCAAAATCATACAATATTTTGATCCGGGCTATCAGGGTTCTAATATATAATTTATACCCCCGTCGTCAAATAGCCACCAAACATCGATGCTCCCTTTGTGTTGTTTATACTGGAACTTGTTAATCGATGCCATGATATTTCTGCTATATTTTTTGCTCATTTTTTTCATCGCCCCAAGTCCGTTTTGTTTTCTTGTATTCCTGCGATCTGTCAGGGCACGTTTGGCTCGGTCAAAATTGGATATAAACAGATTACTTGTTTTGGTAGTATCATTGGTTACGATATCGGGGTTAATAGCTCCACCATCTTCCATATTTTGAATATCTAAGTCGTCTTTAGCTAAATTTAAACATCAATTAGAATTTTTATATATCCTAAAATGATCTCAATTATATAATTAAATGACTAAGATTTATATTTGGAAATAACAAAGACAAGCATGAAAATGTCAATATAAAAACAATTAGTCAACTGGAATTCAGAAAACATAATTCTCCTTTCTTCCAAATATAAACTTTAACCATCTTTTTCGTCAAAAACTGAACTTCAATAATAAATAAAATTACATATTCTTCTATCGGAGACTTTTTGTTTGGGCCGCCAATTTTTGCCCCATTTCTCGAAAAGTTTTCTAGCGCCAGATATCTGTTTAAATTCTTTGCCCATCACTGAAAGAGTTTGTCTTTTATTCATTGGTGTGTTAAAACGGTTACCGGGTTGGCCGTTATTGCGGTTGGAAGAAGCAGAAAGGGGAATGGTGAAAAAAGAAAAATCCAATCCCTCCGGCATTTTGAATATGCCTACACCAAACCTCAGATCGAAGGCATCGCTAATATTAGGAGAAAAAAAATATAACATAAGAATTATTGAAGTTAAAAATGGTTAAAAAATTAATAGAATTTTATATATTCCCAAAAAAGAACAAATAACCTATAACAATGAAATTTATTGATTAATAATATTTTTTTAGGAAGATTAAGTAGAAAAATCATTGGCGTTTAACTTTTGTAGTTTTTTTTTTTATAAAATGAGGCCAAAATTATTCCATATTCAAAGTAGTTCCAAAATTTAGAAATATAATGGTAAACTAAGAACCTTGTCTCTTATTTTAAGAAATTCAGCAGAAGCCTTTGGGGTAGTTTTTATATTAAAAACTTGGATGTTTAAATAATAAAGCAACACATACTATATTGCGATTTCTTAGCACAAAATAAAGCGTTTACCAATATGGACGATAACATCGAAAGTTTAAAAATATACACTCCCTCCCCGAATGTTTCAATTTATAAGCACTATTAGTCATTACATCACTTTTTGTATACAATATTTAATGGTTAGGTGGGATGGTTATGGAACTCAACTTTCTCATACTTTTAGATACCAATATATTTCTAAATAAAATATTAAAATGCAAAATGTACTGGATGATAAAGAAATAATTATTAACGTCGGCGAGGTCTTCATCCCTCCAATTTGACATATAACCCATCATTAATATGTTTGGTTTTAATCTTCCCAATCCAGCGACCTTATAAAACAATTAAAAAAACTTTTACTTAAGAAATAAAAGTAAATTATTTTTTTTCAATAAATTTCTGACTGATTAGATCAAACAAAATATTATTACTCTTCAACAAACTGGTAATAAATTACACAATTAACAGCTATTGAATTATAAATCAGAGAAAAGTATAAATAAATATTATAATTACTTCGAGTAGCCCAAAAGCGCCTTGCCTCAAATTAGGTGCTCTAATGTTATCGTATAAAGCTTTAACCTTCCGTTTATCGAGAAATTCATAAATCTCTTTTAATTTAGGTGGGTTCGTGTAGTCGGGAGTGTTTTCCTTATTTTGAAATAATAATTTATACAGATAGATCTTCATATAACGAATTAAACAAAGTTCAAGAAAATGATTAGATATAATTCTAAAAGGAAAAAATATTAAAATTCAATCTAATATCATTTTCTCTTTCTTTCCAGATAAGGAAGAAGAAAGAAAGCGTTTAAAAATAAAATATTAGGCTCCATCATATTGTCATATTGAATATTTTAATGATAATAAAACCGATATTATTAAAGAAAGCATCAACTCATTTACTATTTCTTCTTAATTTTATTGGAGAAAATTAGCTTTACTATGAAGAATAACATACAAGAAAAAAAAATTTATGTGGAAATGAAGAACCGGGAAAAATTCTTATATTTTTTTCACTTCAAATTTTCAAATAAACTTCTTTTTTTTATATGATTATATTTCGTTTTAAAAAGTGGCAAGGGTATTGGCCGATGTATCAGTGCATTTCTGATAATAATTAATAAACAGAAAAACCGAAATCTTACCAAATATCATATCTTATACATTTGAAAGGTGCAATTTAAAAAAAGGAAAATCTATATAATGTTATTTTTTTTAAAATATAAATTTTAAATTACTATCATGACGTATCCGCATATGAGCAGGCTTAGATTTTTAGTGAAGTAATTGACAAAATCCAGCAATGTGGGACGGCTTCTGGGATCACCCGTAAGCACCAAAATTTGAGGTCTTTGATTTTTTTTATAATACATTTACTTTAAAGTAAATGAAATTATGGATTCATATTTTTTTATAGATACATGCGTGGCTTTAGTTATCTTAAAATACTTTACAATTTAAATAATGTTCGATTATTTGGTACAATCATTAATCCCATTATTGTTAACCATCTTTCCAGCAACATATATACAATAAAACCTGTCTAATTGAGTACCTTTGGGACAAAGATATTTGCCCAACTTAGACAGTTGTTAGATTTATCAAGGCATTTTCTAATGTAAGTTAGTGTTGTTACACGGCTCGTTTTGAGCCGATTTATAAAAACGGCTAACTTAATATTTTATTCAGAAAAATATTACGCAAGCCTGAAGATTTTGTTAAAATATGGTTCTAGACATGTATTATCGAAATCTTGGGGCTTAAGCAATATTCTTCTGGCTAAAATATTGAGTTAGCCGTCTTTAAAAATCGGTTCAAAACGAGCCGTTTAACAATACTAATATAAGTAGTTAATAATTTGATTGGGACTCAAAATTTTAGTCAAATTTGTAGGTACCCAAATTATCAAGAGTTCAAACTAGATAAATTTGACTATAAACACCTTTTTTTAATGGAAAAAATAGAATGCTAAGAAGTAGGAAAATTTTAAATAGATAAAAAAATAGAAAACGACCGGAATCTATCATTAGAGAAATTATTTTAAAATAACTATTTAAATCGACTTTTAAGCATCAAATGAACCCCTACACTAAGTTTATATTTGGCCGAAGGGTGCGGACTAGGGTCTGTCCTTGATAGCCTCTAATACATAAAATATTAATCAGATCATGCTCTGATAAAGATATTCTGTGGTTATATGGATTTTCTCCATCGATTTCTTTGATTTTTATTTATATTTAACATGCCTTTTTTAAAACTTAGAAATCACCTTATACATAAATTTTAAACAATAGATATTTTTTATATATTTATATAATAATTATGGGGGGAAAAATGAAAAAGAGACTTTAGTAGGATTCTATTATTCCTCAGGAATGATAAATATTACGTCCGTCAACATTACTTCGATGAAAATAAAAGGATACCTAAAATTTTTGACGTGTTCTTCCGTTTGATTGAGTTTCATGACCCAAGCAAGAGCGCTTTTATAAACGTGAGCTTGACTAGATGAACCCCAGTTGACATCTGTATAAAATTATTTAACAGGATTAATTTAATTTTTTTTAAAATAATATATTAAAAATATTCTGGATTGTTTTTATAATTTTTGTAATTGTTTGCTGGTTAAACCTATGTAATTGTTTGCTTTATGTTAAACCTAAATAATGTTTTTTAATAATGATTTTATCTAAACTGACGAAAGTGAAGTTGGAGGTCATTTAACATCAATTCATTTTTTTAATTATATATATTAAATTGCCACAGGGCAAGCATTAGTTAATTATAATATAAATGTATAAATTTTCAATAATTTCCGAGATAGTTTTTTCTAATTATTATATTCACGTTATTATTTAGCAAAATTATTTTATCCCGCCCGTTGATTAAATAAAAAATTTTATTGGCATCAAAAGTTCTGGGCCGGGTGGTCATGTGCTTACTTTTTAAATCATGAGAATTTGGATCTCATTAAATAGTTTACTATGCTCTTAAACTTCCATAATCAATTTAATATAGTTTGGTGTTAGCCTATTATTTTGTACAATAACTTAATACATAACCACTTTCTACCTCGAGTCAAATGTAAAAAAAAACATTTTTACATTTAAATATCCCTATTTTTTTTTGAACGATTAATTCAATTTCTAATCACATCGCAAAAATGATTAGTAAAGTAGAGGAGGTAAATTTGACCTGGTTTTTTGTAATGCACGTAACCGTAAAAGAAAAACACGAAAAAGAACGTTAACAGGGTAGCCCACCATTTAATGAGAAACATTGTAATTATGCACATCACGCCACCGATTAAACTGATCCAATGATTGTAATAGGAGTAGCCAGGTCTGAAGCCTTTGATTGATATAAAAAAAATAAATCGAATATTTTTGAATAAAAAAAACACAAAAATTAATTGACAATTATATTGATCAAATAATTATTAAAGAAATTTTTAAAAAAATTGAATTAAAATAAAACGAAATATAATTATCAACTTGGTTACCAATACTACCCGACATGTACACGTCGAAACATGAGTAATTTATGAGCGCGAAAGACATGAGGAAAAAATTGGATATAATTGGTGCCAGAATGTTCAAATTTGCTAGATTAAGTTGTTTTTGATAACAGGATAAAAAATGTTAATTTCAAATATTTTTGGCTTATTTTAAATTAATTTATATCTGAGATATGCATGTGTATATCCTTTAAAAAATTAAGTTTTTGAATGTTCAAAATTATTTAATAAATTTTTTTACGTTGTAAATCTTATCTAAATAAAAACTCAAAAAATAAAATGTCATATTAAAAAAAATTTATCCTATATTTATCCAGGAATAAACGAAAAACTTAGAATAAATTGATGTTAATGTAAAGTAATTTTTTTTAAATAAAATTTTTAATAATATACCCATAAGGATGAACAATATTGCTATGAAAAACATGAGGAAATAAGCCCTGAAAGGTTCGCCGTGTTTTTTGGTACCCACCGCGAAAAAACTGAGTATAGGAAATAACCTGTCTCGGCTAAGGGCCTTTTTTAAAAGAATAATTTATTTAACCATATTTGATAATAGTCTCAGATAATCTAATTCTAACAGGCTCTTATTTGTTCTATGGTATATGATTCGAAATTGACAGTATTATAAAAAATATTCTTATCACAATACCAAAATTGTTAGTCTTTTTTTTTAATTTAAAAAATTATAAATGGTAATAGGTATCATTACAACAATATTCCTCATCATGCAATTTCCAGTATTTTAATAAGATTTGTCAAATATAATTTCTTTTTGGTACTATAATTACTTCAGTAAGTATTTTTTTTAAAAAACCAGTACAAATAATAAAATTTTTATCAATTCTTCAGTATTTTAATAAAATTTGTCAATAAATATTTTTCTTTTAGATATTATAATTAATTTTTATCTATAAACATTTTTGTCTCCCATTATTTTAATTGTATTACCAGTAAAATAAATAAATTAATTTAAACTAGCCCACGTTTTTAATAAAATATTTAAACACGTCGGTGAATATTTTATTAAACTAAAAGTATATACCCATTTTTTAAAAAATAAATAAACTAAACCTAATATATAATATCTACCTAACTTTAATACTTTTCAGTAAAAGTAATCGCCCCCCTAAGCTTGGGAGGAGGGGGAAATTTTTTATCTTGTTAGGTCATATTTTATTTTATTGATCAAATTATGTGAACAAATTTGGTATTTAATTCTGATATTCTATTATTTATACCGATAAAAATGAAAAATATCAAAAAATACGGAGATTTTTGTTATTCGCAAATAAATTACGCAATCACTTAAAGTTTTTCAGAAGAATTAAGAATTAAAAACCGTAAAAGCGGGTAAGCTTATAACTGAAAAAGCAGGAACTTTTTATATACAAGTATTATTCTATTAAGTATAAAAACGGTATTATTATTAATTTTGTCATAATTTTTTATTTATATTCGTTATAAGTATCAATTCAGCGATTATTGTTATTCCAATAATTGTACTTATTAATCAGATCAACCCAACACTCGTACATATTATATAAATTGTAAAAAAAGGGTTAAAATAAACTTGATACCTGAAAAACTTTAGCAGAACCTTCTAGAGAAGCTATAGCAGATGAGAGACAAGCAGCGAAAATTCCTAAAGTTATTATAGGGCCAAAGGCTGATTGTAATTCAGCTGTCTATGTACATTTTAAAAAAAAAATCATTGTTATGTTCATTATTTTGTAAATTTAAAAAAAAAATGAAATCTTCTATTAGAATATCTCATTCAAGAACGAGTATATTTTGGTCAAATTATCTATAATTACAAGAGGAGCTAATTAAAGGAATTAAAATATAATTATCTCTTATAAAAATTAGTATTTAAATACTTTTTAAAAAAAATAAGGTTGCAAATAACATAAACATTAAAGGAGACCAGGTCTTAGGCCATGTAGCGCTAAAAATATCATATTATATTATTGGTTTGATTGATGACGTGTATGGGATAGAAGTTAGGAGATTGTATACTTATTTTTACCAAAAATGGTTTGATTAGCCCAAATATTAATTTATTAAACACTTATAAACCAAACCTGATAATCATTTCTAAGTCCAAATTTGCAGTCCCTACCAGGTAAACATTCCCTCAAAGCGCTTGTGGGCTTTATAAGCTCTGATACGCTCAACATGGAATTGTTGGGATTGGAATTGAGATATAAATCAGATAATATTCCTGAAGCATCCCTGATAACGGAAGCCCCAAATGTCCAAACCATTAGTAAATAAGAAAAGCTAGTTATAAAAATGGCCCAAAAAGTACCTTTAGGTATGGCTGTTTGGGCATTCTATATTTATTATAATTTAAAAAATTAAAAATTTGGCAAGAAGTTTTAATTTAATAATAAATTTGCAAAGTATATCTAGTAGATAGAAGTAATAATTTGTGGTGGTATTGGGTTAAAATTAGTAATCTGCATCGGGCCTAATTTTTAAAGTCCGGCCCGAAATTAATTTTTTTTAAAAAAGGCCGACCAGGCCCGAATCCGTTTTTTAAAAAAAATTTACCGGCCCGGCCCGATTTTATAGAAATTAATTTTTATAATTACTCAAAATAAAAGACTTATGTTATATGGCGTCTAGTTCTATAAATAAAATCAAATATTTTTATTTTATATAAAAAAATAAAATTGATAAATTTAAATATATTTTAAAAAATTTCTAAGACCCGGCCCAATTTTTTTTTAAAAATATTAGGCTCAACCCGGCTCTAATTTTTTAAAAAAAAACAGGCCCGAGCCCGGCCCGAAGCCCATTTGTTGCAGTTCTCTAGTTAAGATTCCTGTTATAATAATTGATAACGCTATACCAAGTCAAAAGTTAAAACTATGGCCTTATTTAGAAGAAAATAATGTTTGATTTCCCCAATTTGCCCTAAAAATTAATTCAAAATTTAACGTAGCATTGTTATCAAAATTTTAAGTATTGATAAATAGAAGCGCTTCTACGAAATGATCTTAAATAGCACATTTTCAATTCCTTATTTTTAAACAAATAAGTAATCATTTGAGGCTATACTTTTAAATCACCGGATATGTTACAACCAGCTAGAAAGCCCGTGAAAGAAGGAAAAAATATGGCGAATACCGAGAAGAATGTTTCCCCTTTAAAAGATGGCCCAAAGTTCTCTTTAAATATCGCGCCTGAACAATGATAGAAAAATTTAATATAATATACATTTTTATAAGTAAACAATATAAAGTCTATAAAGGTGATAGGATGGTAGACCTTATCTATAAAATCACCATCCTTATATTTCGGTTCTTATAAGTTAAACGTATAGGAAGAACAGTTTGCCTGCCAATCAAGTAGCATATTTGGGTAAGATTCCAAAATTAACTTCAATAATTTATAAAAATTATCAAGCAATGAGGTCGAAGTCGCCGGGGAAAAACAAAAACGTGTTCAATATGCCAAAATTAATGCAAGCAAATCTTTTTGCTTTTGAAGGCGCCGAAATAAAAAAAGAATGAATTTTATAGCATAGAGTAATTTAAATGGCTTCGGTGCGATTTAATAACTGTCGAGTTTTTGAAATTCTTTAGAAACAAATATTGAGCTATTATTTTAAAATATATCTTGGCTAGAATATTGGAGTGCTCTAGATCGTTTGAACCGAAATATCGAATTTTAAGTTTTTCAAATTATTATTCTTGCTAAACTTATTGGCATAGAAAATTTGGGGACTGAATTAAAATTAATTATTTTTATTATTTATTTTTTCAATTGAATCCATGTTTTTTGACAGCCTCAAAATGCAATTGAAGCAAAGATAAATTAATTGAAGACCAAATAATCAATATAATCCCAAAAAAAATTTATTTTTTTAAAAAAACTTTCTTAATTATTTATTATTTCAAATTATTTATTAAAGATCCCTATTTTTAACATTAATAAAAGGATATTGACAACTTTATATTCGTATATGCATAAATTATTTTTATTAGATTTGGTATACGGTTATACTTCACTAGCTGATACTTTCAATTTTAAAAGATACCAGGGGCCGATACCCCAAAATAATAATTCGCTTTCATAAATTAAAAAATCATTTTAGTATAAAATTACTATGAATTGATATTTTAAAACAAATTTCTAAATTAAGGAAAGAATGGAAAAGATACGGTTTGTATCGGTATGGGCTAAAAAGATGATATAGTTAAATAATTAAATAAAGCAGACTAATATAAAAAAAATATTACATTTCATTTGTTTGCCTTTGCCCTAACAAATATTTGGCTTATGGCGTTAGACAATAAGCTTAATTATTCAATAATTAAATAAATTATACTAAATAGGCAAAGTAAAAATCGAGATAACTATATCAAAGCTCAATATTTTTATCCAAATTTTGGTTTACACATAAATTAACAATCTTAACATCTAGGAATTTATAAAGCTAACTCCCATTTTTCAAAAATATCAATTGGAGCACTCCAATAAGCGACGATATATAAACTCTTTCCATATTCTATATATTTTTAATCCAAACCCTTGCATTATCATCAGTTAGAAACGTCACCACATATATTTAAAATTTATTAAATTCTACCCTTATATCCCATTACACCCCTCGATTTTTTGTAAGGCGTAGGAGGGATGACTGTGCCGACGAAGTAATTCACGAAAGATAGTAGCAACAAAACTAAAAATACGAGTTGGGTCTAAAACGATATCATGATAAAAGATAAGAATTATAAGAATGCCAATCAAATTTCAAAAGTATATTATGTTTATGTTTAATAGGATTTGTAGCAATTTCATGAGATAAAAGAGCCTTCTAAGATTTAATCAAATAAGGTTTATAACATAGATATTTTACTATTTTTTTCCAAGTTCGATGTCATAAATTTATTTAAGGATTCTAGAGAAATCAACCCATATTATTTACAAGTATCTAACTAAGTAAATAAGATTTCATTTAATATAACTTTTTGGATTTATAAACTATTACGATAAAAATTATTACAATAATTCAAAAGAAAAAAAATCAAAGGATATTTAGTAAAGATCAATGTTTCGGTCCTATCGGTCTTAGCCCGAGACCGATTCTTTTTTGAGGCCACAGTGATCCGGACCGGTCTTTTATAAATATTTAAATTTGCTTTATTATTCAATTAATACTTTTTTTTAACCTAATTTTTTTGTATATTTTAGGTTATTTTTCTAGAGGAATTATTTTCGTTTGTGAATTTTTAGTTCATTTCTATTTTTGAAATATGAAAACCATAATTTTTTCAAAGAAACATCTAATAGTCCTAATAAACAAGATTTAAAGGTAAAAACAAAAATATTTTTAAAATACAAAAAAAATAAAGACCGGAGACCGGTCTTTTTATTTAGGACCACGACTGGATCGATCTTTTTGAAACCATGGTCCGATTCGGTATGAGTGCATCGGTTCGGACCAAAGACCGAACCGTGACCATCACTATTTTTTAACAAGCATGCTGAACCTGACAAAAAAAATTATTATAAATTATTTTAAAAAAATAAAAATTCATAGTTATAAGGCAACCCTCCATAAGATGAGCAATTCGTTGACGATTATTTCTATTTGATTAAATTAAAGGAGGTAGTCAATTTATTCTGTATAGAACACTTTTTTTTAGGTTTTTACCACATTTCAGAACTTACAACATAGATAATAAATGAATATAAATGTTATTACTTTCGTTTCCCATTCTAAACCAGCCATAACTACTCCTAACAATAAAACGGTTACAGAACAACCGATAATTCTTATCCAATTAGAAGTGCTAATACCGTATGTTGTCCCACCATAATGCTTTTGATAATGAAAACAAAATTTTGCTTAAAAAATAATAGGAAAAAAAATTATTCACGAAAGAGAAAATAAATTCAATTTTCATACTCTAACCCTATTAATCTCATATTAGAGAATATAGAGTAACCCTAAATCATATCAGATCCCGACTATTTTATTCTTTTATTACATTAAACGTTTAAGTTACATGTATTTTAAAATAAAAATATACTAAATTATATGTGCGAAACTTGCATCATGTCGACTATAGTTTCGGCCAACCCGACTACGTTCATCGAAACACTAACTGCATTAGCTAGAGAAAATATTATGCCGATGGCGCCACCAAACTCAGGGCCTAAACTACGAGATAACATGTAATAAGCACCACCTTAATTTCATTTTATTATACATTACATTATAATATATATGTAAATTTAGTTGATGAATGTTTGATTGAAGGAATTAGTATGAGAAGTAATGGAAGAAAATGAAAAGTCTCTCATAAAAAATAATTATGTATAAATAACAAATTTACAACTTACCTCCTTTGATCTCTCCGTTCGTACAGATAGCGGCCATAGACATCGCAGTTATTATAATTACGATCATCGAAATGATTATAATAAGAGTTGATAATCCTATAAATATATTTATATAGTTGTTTTTATATAATTTTATAATCGGCGTCACTTAGATTTTATTAGAACGCCTAAAATATTATCCACTTAAACAAAAAACGACAAAAGTTTTTTGAGCTGATCTAGTAAATAATTAAATAAAATTGACTTTTTAGCACTCCTAAACGATATAACTAGCAATTCCTTCGATTTAAAAGCTCATGTGATAAGAACTGACTCAACCTGATTTGGCAAATTCTCGATCTTGAGGTTACGGGCTAACGAAATAGAGGCAGACATCCTCAAGAACATGTTGGATAAAAAAATTGTCGTTGATATGGCTCAAAGCCGAGCCATAAGGAAGGTAAAAACCCCAACTAATTTTTGAATTAACATAATGAAGAAAAAGGAAAAGATATTAAAGGTATGGATTAAAAAAACTTTAAATTTACTAAAACAAATAAAAAGAATACATTTAACATTGATATGAATATATTTCGGGATCAAATAACTTGTTAGACTTGGAATTGAATGGGGAAAATAAAAAATATAATAAAAATGAGAAATTGAATTTTCTACCAAATAAATTCGGGTCGGGTGGGACAAAAATTTATTTTCACCTCATGTTTGGCTTGGTGGGACAAATATTAAAAAATAGGTTCAGAGTTGGCTGGGCAAATCATTTATAAAACATTGGGGCCAGGACAGGTACAAATCAGATTCTATGCGGACCTCAAATATATAAAGCAAACAATCTGTCCTCAATAATAAAATGCAAAAAAATTTAATGATGAATTTATTAATTTTTAAGAATCGCGAATATAAATTGAGGATATTTTGAGAAAGAACGTTGAATGATACAACTAATTAATATTTGTTTACAAGAAAATTTAGATATTATACAGCTATAAAATGTCTTTTTTTTTGGTTTTACAAAAATAAAATTGTATAAATTTTGTTTGGCACAGTCATATAATGGCTTTAGAAAAATGGCTAAAATAAGATCAACAAATATTTTCATAGCGATCTTTATTAGTTTTACGGCCCAGCCTGGGTTTGTAATTCATATTTATTTTCTGACCTGGCCTGAATTTCTAGAGTAATACTATATTATTGCCTAGTCATGGTTTTAGTGAAGGTATGTGATCATAGGCGTAAACACGATTTTGCAAAGGGGAGAGCACTATTATGTGGGGTTTTTAACCATAAATTCTATTGAATAATTTTAGGCACACTTGGTAACATTTTTTTTTTAATCTTTAAATAGTTTAACTGATATATTGCATCATTTTTTAAAAAGGGAGAGGGGGTAAAGGAAGTGTAGGGAAAATATTTTTATTAAAAAGACATTGATATTAACGAAAACGGGTGATTTGGAACATTCCCCTTTCGGTTATACACTTATGTCTCTAATCAGAGTTTATAACTAGAACTAAAAATGGTCAGTTCCGTTTCTGACTTTTGTCAATCGGTTTCGGTCCCGATTCCTGAAAATCTTAAAATGGTTCTAGGTCTTGCAAATCAAAGTTCCAAGTTCTAGTTTAGGCCATTAGATTTGTACCAATCCAAGGGTTCTAAATTCTGTCTCTTATAAAATGATTTATCAAATATCAATTTCTTTTTTCATAATTCCTTATGGGGATAGAAAAATAGACAATTTAAAAAAAAATTGAAACAAATACAAGCTATGTAATATTTGGTTAAGGTTGATATTATATATCTAAATAGCTCATGCCAATGTCTACGCCTATTTTTTAGTCTACTATTAATTTTCGACAAAAAGAGCTAATATACAAGTTTTAGTGAATATTTTATATCGTAAAAACAAAACTCCAAAGCCATCAGCAAATTTTCATGGTGCTCTTTAGAAATGTCAGAATTAAAAATTTTGCCCTATAAATATTGAAAATGTTTTCTTATTTTCGTTTTAAATTAAATATATTATATTTAATTATTCAAAAAAATATATAATTTATAATTCGTTATCGACAAATTAAACAACTCCTACTAATATGGTCAACAATATTAATATATAAAATAGTATGAAACCACAAATTTGCAAAGCCCTTAATCTAGAAGTGAAATGGGGATGAGGAAGATAAAAAAAAGAGATATACCTTAGACGCGAACTGGGGTTATTCTGGAAAATAACATATATAAAAATGTTAGAAGAACAATTAAATTTAAAAATTTTGTCAAGGTCCAAGCCTCGTTCGAACACCCCCAGTAGGAAATATAATTTGTTTACTAATAACAAATTAATTTATATTTGATTATAATAACTTGCATAAATACTACCTAATTCCAGTGTTCTTAAAATGCGGCGCTCATCAAAAACGCAGATCAGGAGCGGGAGCTAGCTTTGCTTGAGATCTAAAGCAGAAGAGCTGCGCTTATCAGCTCCTTCAATTTTATTGCATAAGATGTTTTAAACATAATTTTAATTAATATTCAGAAATGAATAAATTTAAGGTTATAGAGCTTTTGTCAAAAACTTTGAAGATCCTTGAAGGTTAGTTTTATATGGATATGGGTCTTTTTAACTCCAACTATTTCTGACTCACTTCAAGATTAAATGATATTGCAGGTTTAGAGTTTTGCTAATCTTTTGTAGAGTCTTTTATACATGGCATTGATAAAAGGTTTATAATTTTATAAAAATAAATAATATACTTTTTAAAAAACATTTTTGCAGATTTTCAACTATTTATAAACTATTATCCATATTACACTTAAAATGAATTGGGAATGGGTAAACAGGTCTCAAAATGGTAAATTAATAAATAATTTCATAAGAAAACAAATCCTCAAACAAAAATACATACAATACAATTACATCAAAAATACCATCAAATGATTTTTAAGAATTGATTATGAAATAAAGATAATACTAAATAAAGAAATTTTAACAAACAATACCAAATAAATATATTTGATAATGTGCCGATATTAAATATCTGATCGGACCGATACCTGTAAAAACCTGATCCGATCCTTTTACTAAAAATGCAATTCTTAAAACTTTTGAATAATGAAACTTTGAATTATTATTACATCATATTTATTATTTAAAATAATAAATTTTTCCGAGTTGAGTTTCAATTTTACTTTAATGATATTTTCTAAATAATTTTTTTTAAACAATGAAAATGCGCAAGGTCTATATAAGTCGAAAGGCTTGGTAATACGAAAGGCTAAAAAATAATATTGAAAATAAAAATAACAAAGAATGATTAGAGATATTTGATTGATTTATTGCTTTTTTTAGAGAAAAAATATTATAATATTTAAAAATTAATTTTATTATATTAAATTAAAAATTAATACTTTTAATTAAATTAATATTTGGTTATGATTTTATATATTAAGTAAGTATAAATATATTGTAATTACTTGATAAAAGAAGTAAATGAGAAATATAAATTTTTTAAGGTATTTTTAATTTGAGAAAGCGTTTAAGAGGGGAAAGGCTAACATCTTAAACGTAATTTCAAATATAATTATATCATTGAACTCAGAATTTAATTTCCTATCCAAAACCGCTTAGATGTATTTTTTTACGTTTCCGGTTCAAAAATATTCAAAATTACGTTTAAGATGTTAGCCTTTCCCCTCTAAAATGCTTTCGCGACAAAAAAATATTTTTTGAACCGGAAACGTAAAAAAATACATCTAAGCGGTTTTGGATAGGAAATTAAATTCTGAGTTCAATGATATAATTATATTTAAAATTACGTATAAGATCTTAGCCTTTCCCCTCTAAAATGCTTTCGCGCAAAAAAATTATTTTTTGAACCGGAAACGTAAAAAAATACATCTAAGCGGTTTTGGATAGGAAATTAAATTCTGAGTTCAATGATATAATAATATTCAAAATTACGTTTAAGATGTTAGCCTTTCCCCTATAAAATGTCGCGACAAAAAAAATATTTTTTGAACCGGAAACGTAAAAAAATACATCTAAGCGGTTTTGGATAGGAAATTATATAATTATATTTAAAATTACGTTTAAGATTTAAGCCTTTCCCCTCTTGAACGCTTTCTCAAATTAAAAATAACTTAAAAAAATTTATATTTCTCATTTACTTCTTTTATCAAGTAATTACAATATATTTATACTTACTTAATATATAAAATCATAACCAAATATTAATTTAATTAAAAATATTAATTTAAATATTAATATAATAAAATTAATTTTTAAAAACCGCAAATTATTTCAAAAATTATTAAAAAAACTGAAAAGATCTTAAAATTTCCATATTTTTAATATATTACTATAATGTAATGTTATTATAATATTTCTTCTCTAAAAAAAGCAATAAATCAATCAAATATCTCATTAATTATTTTCTTTGTTATTTTTATTTCCAATATTATTTTTTAGCCTTTCGTATTACCAAGCCTTTCGACTTATAGACCTACCTATGCAAATGTTATTTATTTTTTAAAATAGATTTTAAAAGTTTTTTTTTAAAAATAGAAAGGAACACCCAAAGTTTTATTTATTTTTAATATTTTTAAAAAATAACACCAATTTTATTATTTATACTTTAAATAAAAGAATTATTTTAAATAAATTGCAAAATGCGTTATTTGCTGAATTCTAATTTCACGGGGAGGAATAATGAAAAATTTATTTAATACAACAAATATACGAGATTCCATCAAACAGAATTCGAAGAGCTAATACAAAAAGAACGAGATATTAGAGAAAAAAAATCAAATTTTTTTAAAAAAAAGAGCCATGAAAGTCAGCCAACTATATCAGCCATTCTTAATAAAACTAATATTTGGAAAAATTCTGATCCATTGCCTGAAAATCTAGAGGCTCTTATATTTATTAAAATAAATCTAATATATTATAATTTTATATGTTAAATATTACAATTTTATAAACCAACATAAAATGGATATATTATTATATTTATTTTATCTATTAAAATATAATTTTTTTTATATTATAGTTGAAATAAAAAAATTTTAAATGCATAATTCTTTTGCATAAAAAATATTGATTA